AAAAAGTAAAAAGTAAAAAGTAAAAAGTAAAAAGTAAAAAGTAAAAAGTAAAAAGTAAAAAGTAAAAAGTAAAAAGTAAAAAGTAAAAAGTAAAAAGTAAAAATAAACCAAGCACTAAGTTAGAGCGAGAATGGGTTAGGGTAGATTTTTCACGGAATTCTACGTGTACTATAGAAGTCTTCTGGCGAGCTGCAGTCCCGGCTGATACACTATCACCGGAGAGCGAACGTTTCAAGACTCATGTCATCGTACAACTGGTGATGTTGACGGTAACACGATGGGAGTAGCAAACATGTTACATTTGCCAGGAACGGAAACTTGACAGCCAAGGGTTTCAACGAATGAAACGGCGAAATACGACTGTTGACTTTCCTATAGTAGGTTGGCGAATTGCTCGGTAGCCGCGCTAATTTGTACGGCTAGCCAACGAACGAACGAACGAACGAACGAACGAACGAACGAACGAACGGGTGAGGCTGGATTACGTATGTATGTGGTAGTCAAGTTGATTCGAGTCAGGATAGCCCCGAGAAAAAAAGAGATTCGAGGCGGACGCGGCGTTCGTTAGCCTTCCCGGATAGCGATGCCCGTCCGTATATAGTGGACACTAGCCGGACTAATAGTAGATGGTAAGATGGTTACAACTGATGGATACTTACTATGTAACTATTACTATTATGTCGGCTATTTTCTCTTGGAACTATTTCTCTTGGTAATGTTGTAGCAGTTCAAATTATTGCGAGCTGTAAGTTTACTTAACCAAAGCAGCCTAAGGTCCTAAGGTCCTGAAAGGTACAATACACTACAATACTTGCTATGTAAACGGCATGGCACCGACGCTAGTAGGCTTGTTGCGTTCCAATGTGGCTCCCCAGCCCGTTATCCTCGGTATGGAGTAACAAATGCTACATTCTACCTGGCCCGGTGCTGAATTAGGCGAAATACTTTACAATTGTGAAAAATGATGTATATAATTGTATATCCGCCGTAAATACTCCGAAGAGAAGAACGCACGGATACCTTTTCATCCCGTCGAGACGTGTACCTACTAGTTAGTATATGCAGTCTATCATCACTCACTTTTTTAGTGTAGACCGCCGAATTCCAGCCCCGTAGAAGCAGCTCGCCTCACTTTTCTTTAAAGCATCCGCATCGAAATTAATATCGAACGCATGGCCGTCCACACGACATGTAAAGTTCTACATATGCAAAGGTAGAAAGGAAATATGCCTATCAGCATGAACGGCGCATGGGAAGTTCTAGGACGACGTTTCATACACCGCCAGGTCCATCAAGTCCGTCAGGTACACATCTAGACTGTCTAGACATCTAGACATACCTACAACGTAGCTAAATCGGAAGTTAACACATTCCTTCCCGGCTTTTGAGAAACTTCACCACACCATGATCGCCGTCGGGATCGTGGCAATCTCACGCTCACTCTTTTGAGCTTTCTCATCCAAAAAAGCCAAGGTTTCTCGACTGCGCCGTAGCAGTAATATCCTCAATGTCTTGTTACATGCCTACATCATACATACCCCGAAATCGTGCCCAGCATGTAATGCAATGTATAGGTATGCCCAAATGCCAGCAGACCATCATTTCATCACCAGTCGTCCTGCCTCTCTCCTTCGGTTCGACGTTGGAGTGAACCATACTACTCACCGACAGGTGCATGCTGCAGCACACCACGACTGGTCATGTAGGCCGCAGGCAATCAAGAGACGGCGGTTGGAGACTCTTGATGGTTACGAAGAAGTGTACTGATCCTGTTCTGATCCTGTCTACACGACACCTCATCCATATCCGAGAAATGACAGGGTGTGATTTGCAAATAGAATCGATGTTCGATGGCTGGGCTGGGCAAAGTCTTCTACATGCCATGCCACCCGTCCATACACCATCATTGATTTCTTCCAATGTTAAATGCATGTCGCCGTGTCGATTTGGCTGTTCGGCAAAATTAGTTGAGACAGTCGATGCGGTGATATGGAAATGGAAACTTGGAGTGACACCCTCATAAGACGGGATCAAATACAGATACAGATACTGGATAACGGTAGGTATTGATTGATTGATACAATACAACAGGTACACGTAATGCCTAAAAACCCACATCGATGCGTCCAAGCATAGCATGGAACACACTAAGGTATGCATATATTGGATTACGAGGTTATGCAATTGAACACGCAGGGATATTGTTACGATTTATTACGATTCCTTGAAGAGTATTGGCCCATTAGTTCGCGATCTGAATCCAATTAGGCCTAGACGGAGCTAGATTGGTCCCAGACCTGTCCCAAATCAATGGAACTCCAAGCCTTAAAAAGCTTTAACTGCAGTTCTGCTGTCTGCAGAAAGAACCAAAAGGGCCATTAGGCTATGATGAGATAATTAACTAAAAACTGCCTGGTATGTTTGCAGGTATGTAGGTACCTATCTTGGGGTACCTATGTACCTAACTTAGCAGCTTACATACCCATACCGTCAATAATAGGTAATACACGCGCTAGGCTAGGACGACACCCCCCTGAGCCACTTTCCCACCAGCCCACCTTCCCTTGTCTCTAAGGGACATGAGCATGTACCCTGACGCCGAAACGAGTCGAAACGGGGATTTTACTCGCTTGGAACTTTTATTTTTTTTTTCTTTCCCTTCCATTCGCCTCTTCCACCACGAAATCCACTGCTTCCTTTTTGTTTTCCAAAATTCTTCGCTTGGGGACGCCCACCCCCCATCCCATCCCTCTAGGCAGGGACCCACGCAAAAAGCAGCAGTCAGTGCCCCCCGGACGCTAATTAAAGACCGTCATCGGAGTCTTTTCCAAAGTCGGTGTCAGCTGTGTGCGCACTACCGCCGATCTATCTAATGGGCTGGCTAGCGCCTTTTTTTCTACAATAGGATGGGGGGGATCTCGTTGTTACCATCCCTTCCCAGATCACAGAAAAATTTCGAACAGAATGCCAATGCTACATACCTACTGCCACTGATGAGATTGATGAGATGGTTCTCGAAAAAGAATCCCACCTTCTGCAAGCCAAGAAAAATACCGGCCCCAACCTGACTAATGTACATACAAGGGCAAGCCTCGTGTGAATTGAGTGGTGTGTATATGCGCGTTTGTGCGTTGCGTCTGCGTGTTCGTTATGCGAATTGTTTATCAAGTTTTTTTTTTTCGTTGTCTCTTGCTCTGCTGGCGTTTGTAAGGCGCCAAGTTCTCGTTGCTCTGGACAGGACGAGACAAAATACTCCTGAGTCGTGGATGAGTCCGTCTATCGTTGTCTATCCTTTTTTTCTCCTTCGATTGTGGCGATCTACATCAGTCTACCACATCCCATCCCTTGGACCCTTGGGGGGGTTTCCTAGGAGATGGGTCCTCCTCCTTGGACCCTCCTTGGATCCCTTTGGTGGTATGGGGCTCCACGCCGCCACCGCTGGATGAGGAATTTCTTATTGATGCTATCGTCTCAGCCAGCAGGAACGAGGCGTTCAAGGGTAACGGGTCTCGCAACAGCGCGCGTTCCAGCTGTATGTTTAAGGTCCATTTATTATTATTATTTTAAACTACCTTACAACTATACATCTACAAATGTATATACACCAATACACCATACATGTATCATACATACCTACACTACACCATAACATAACACCATTGTGGTACCGGGACCTCAAGTTGGCACCAGCGCTGGTGTTGGCCCCATTAT